TTCCCCCCTACGTCAAGGTTGGTGCTGTGTATCGGGCTCCTGCTTATTATGTTCGGCGAATGCCTTAACGCAGTTAGGGCAGCGGATACACAAGGGAGATGATTAAGTAGTTTCATTAAATACGCGTGCATGTCGATGTTGTACGTGAGTGGACGCCAGCCCACGTAGCCGCAGAGCCACGTGACCAATGGCGGAGCCAGGATTTTCAGGTCGGGAGAGGCAACCCCTCCAGCAATGAAAAATGATAGAAGTTGTTAGTAAGGAGTTGTTAGTAAGTAAGGAGTTGTTAGTACGTAAGGACTTGTCCCTTGCTTTTTATTCGACGCGTGTGCGGCGATGGCGCAGCCATCGATTGAGGGGTCGAATTCGAACCGCGTTGTGTGATCGGCATCGCGCTCGCTGAAGGTGTTGATGCCTTCAGGGAAGTCGTGGACTGTATACACAACTGCGCACAATTCTGAGTCACTTAGAACTGCTTGCCGTTACTTACTGCCAATTATGGACTCAGACTGTGGTCCTATCATCTAATAGAGTCCCTAGCACATAATAATATGCTACACAGTGGCAGTGGGAGTCGCAAAATGCCGATTTATTACTAACAACCGCCAATGATCCGATTGAAATTAGGGATTTCTATCGGATCATTGGGGGTAACGTGCCACCCCACCCCCACTGGCTCCGCCAGTGCACGTGACAGCCTCCTCCAGCACGTGCATGGCAAGCAGTCCGCCTGGCACGCCCGACTGACATTTATACATATCTAATAAAAATATATAAATATATAATTAAATATTTATATATTTTCCCCTTCATGTCAGAGGAAACTGGAGAACCTGGAGAAAATTACAAAATACAGACCTGCATTTTTCTTGTTTTAAATAGGATTGGTTTCATAACAGCTGTTTTTTTTTCCGGACGAACCTTATATATTACAATTCATAGGTTGTCCTGTGTATTGTACACAGGAGAGCGCTCACTTCATTAATGATGGTCTTCGTTTACTCGCGAGCGCCCTCGGCGAGTCTACAGATCCCCCTCTTCAGGATGGTCTTGCTGCGACGCGGTGTTTTGCCCAAAGTGCACGATTGAAACATCTTCGCCAAGATCACCTGGCCTGCAGCTAAACACCTTGGAGCAATGGTTTCTGAACCTGGGCCGCACGCACCCCCTGGGTGTGCGAGATGCCCTCTGTGGGGGGTGCGAGACATGGCCAGATTCTGTTTAGATAGCAAATAATCGAAACACAACTTAAGCACGGGCAAGTCATCGCGACTTACTTTATTTCATCAAGCCCTTTGTGTTTATTAGCATTATACATCCTCTTTTTTCAACGACCGAGAACCAAAGGGAGTGCAAAGGGCTGCAGTAAAGATTAAGAACCACTGTCTGAACACCATCCGCCCACGGGGTCCCGTAGAATACGCGCGAGGACTCTTCGCCCATAGCACCGGTCAAACCCGGGTTCGAGCCCAGGTCCGTGCTGTACGGAAACTCAGCGGCGCCGGCCCAGTTCTCCTCCGCGCCACCTGGCAACCTCGCATTGAATGAATCAGTGAGCGAATGAATCGACACGGCGAATTTACGTATGAAATTATTGTCGGCACGTGACCGGGTGTTCCTCGCACGCGCGCACACACACACACACACACCTTTATTGAGACTCTTGAGTGACGATTTGTTGCTGACATCGGTTTGCGATTCCTCTGCCCGGGTGAGAGTCTTGGGGGGGGGGAGGGGGGGAGAGTCCGAGTGGGGGATTTATGTTTGCGTATATGTATATATGTGTGTGGGGTAGTGTAGTGGTTAGCTTGCTTCCTATACATGGTGGCGCATTGGGGGCTGCCAACGGCGCCTCCCGTTCCGTTTATCTGCTCATGCCACACCGAGTGATGTGCACGCGTGTAAACGCTTTATTCTCCATAATAGAGGTTTTTTTGGGTTAGATCGCGTAAATATATAAATGTGTCGTTAAACCCGCCACCACCCGACACAGCCGAATAGTAAGGGTTGTCACGTAAACAGAACAAGCCACAACATTTACAATCAGAGTACGACGTTTCGCCAGTAACTACAACTAGCTTCATCAGGCGACAGCCAGACTTGTGGAGAAGTCCACCTGTTTAGTTCCTTATATAGAGGCGTAGATGAGTCAACGTACATGATGCGTGCGCATTATGCGAGCCCATCGATCTTGCGCTTCCTGTCCATCGTGTCTATTAAAATAGCCGTAACAACGGTAATCCCTATTGTTCTCCGGGCGCATTGCTTCCGTTGACTTATTTTTCATCATTCTGAAGTTCACCCTTCTAGGGCAAAGCGTGCAAAAGAAGCGCGGGGAGTTGCACGCTTAGAATGATCGGGGAGACCAAAAGGGAGGAAGGAGGTGGTCGAGACTAACTGCGGAGTAGCAGCCAAAGGAGCGGGCGAGATGGATTGTTACATCACACGACCGTGCGAAGACGGCTACGGCTTGGGGATGTCTTCATCCAGCAGTGGATTGATCGTGGCTGATTGATGATTGTGACGGTGATCCATTTTAACCACCGCAGTGCTGCAGGTGATTGGCTTCGTGGCGAGTGACGTCAGCGAGGAGCAGACGAAGCGAGAGAATCAGCTGAGCGGCGTGGATTCACACGTGAAGAGCATCGGTGATGCAACTCATACACAACGCATACACAATACACATGCAACACATACACAACGCATACACAATACACATGCAACTCATACACAACGCATACACAATACACATGCAACTCATACACAATGCATACACAATACACATGCAACGCATACACAACGCATACACAATACACATGCAACTCATACACAATGCATACACAATACACATGCAACGCATACACAACGCATACACAATACACATGCAACTCATACACAACGCATACACAATACACATGCAACTCATACACAACGCATACACAATACACATGCAACTCATACACAACGCATATACAATACACATGCAACTCATACACAACGCATACACAATACACATGCAATGCATACACAACGCATACACAATACACATGCAACTCATACACAACGCATACACAATACACATGCAACGCATACACAATACACATGCAACTCATACACAACGCATATACAATACACATGCAACTCATACAGAACGCATACACAATGCACATGCAACTCATACACAACGCATACACAATACACATGCAATGCATACACAACGCATACACAATACACATGTTAACGGATTACTAACATAGCATGTAATCACTAACACACATTACAACTAATTACTAATCTACTACTCATTACTAATCATAACCATTGACTGATTACTAATCAATTATATAATTACAATACCCCCCCTCCGCCTCAAATCACTGCACCTGAATGAGTTAAATTATGACGTCACCCTGCTGCTCTATATAAAACCGGGAGCAAGCGAGGGCTTTACCATTCTGGCAAATTGCCCGATGATGCTGGATGTATTTACCAGCGAAACGTCGTACTCAAACTGTAAATGTTGTGGATTCACTCTTCAACACACCGGTGGGCTAAAGTAGTGAACTATTTGTCTTTTGTCAATGTGACACTTTTTTGCTGATTGGCCGTGTCGGGTGGTGGAGGGTTACGACACATTTATAAATAACGCGATCTAACCCAAAAACCTTTATTATGAATAATATTGGTCGCGAAAGCCTACGTGTTAAACTGACAATACACATGCAACGCATACACAACGCATACACAATGCACATGCAACACATACACAACGTATACACAATACACATGCAACGCATACGCAACGCATACACAATACACATGAAACGCATACACAAATACATACACAACACATACACAATAATACAAAATGCATATGCAACCCATGCACAATACATACACAACACATACATACTGTAACGTATACACAACATATAGAAATGGATATACAGCACATACACAACCCATACACGACACATACGCAATACATACGCAGCGCATACACAGCGCATACACAATGTATACATACACACAACACCTTCTCCTTGACGCCTTGCAATATGTATTTGAACGTCTACACACCTGTTTTATTGCCTTAAAGAGTAAAGCCTATTCTTATTTTTGGATAAATTTGATACTGGCAAAAAGGTCCCGTTGATATAACTGCTCATCCCTAAGATATTAACACTTTGATAGGTGCATTGCCTTTGTACTGTTCGCCTTAAGGCGTTCTCTGGTCTGACACTGCTGGTGAGACTCTGGTGTTAGCCAATTACTTTCAAAGACAATGCCATATATTATTGGGGCATGTTTTTTTGTTGCCTGTTCACTCGCTCGTTCACCCGCCTGTTCACCCACTCGTTCACCCGCCTGTTCACCCGCTCGTTCACCAGCCTGTTCACTCGCTTTGTTCACCTGCTCGTTCACCCGCCTGTTCACCCGCTCATTCACCCACCTGTTCACCCGTTCGTTCACCTGCCTGTTCACCCGCTCGTTCACCCGCCTGTTCACCCGCTCGTTCACCCGCCTATTCACCCGCTCGTCCACCTGCCTGTTCACTCGCTTTGTTCACCTGCTCGTTCACCCGCCTGTTCACCTGCTCATTCACCGACTTGTTCACCCGTTCGTTCACCTGCCTGTTCACCCGCTCGTTCACCTGCCTGTTCACCCTCTCGTTCGCCCGCCTGTTCACCCGCTCGTTCACCAGCCTGTTCACTCGCTTTGTTCACCTGCTCGTTCACCCGCCTGTTCACCCGCTCATTCACCGACTTGTTCACCCGCTCGTTCACCCGCCTGTTCACCCGCTCGTTCACCTGCCTGTTCACCCTCTCGTTCACCCACTTGTTCACCCGCCTATTCACCCGCTCGTCCACCTGCCTGTTCACTCGCTTTGTTCACCCGCCTGTTCACCCGCCTATTCACCCGCTCGTCCACCTGCCTGTTCACTCGCTTTGTTCACCCGCTCGTTCACCCGCTCGTCCTGCCGGCGCACAGAGGAGCACATGTCCTCGCGGCATGCGGCGTTGGAAGGCCTGGTCTCTACCAATCGCCTCGCCGTGCACTCCTTGGACACGCGCACCGGGGAACTGGAGAACTCCCTTCTGCAGCAAATGCAAAAACAGCTACAGCAGCTGCAGCAGCAGATGCAACAGCAGCAGCAGCTGCAGCAACAGCAGCAGCAACAGCAGCAGGAGCAACAGCAGAAGCTTCAGCAGCAGCAGCAGGAGCAGCAGCAGTTACAGCACCAGCAGCTGCAGGAGCAGCTGACGCAGCAGCTGACGCAGCGGCTGCAGGAGCTGCTGTCGGACGCGAAGCAGCAGCAGCAGCAGCAGCAGGCGGAGCTGGCGAAGCGCGCGGAGCAGCAGGAGAACGCGACGGAGGCGCTCCGCGTTCGCGTCGGCGACCTCGAGACGGAGGCGCTGGCGGGGAAGGCGCGCGCCGACGCCGCTGACGCACGAGCCACGCTCGAGCGTGAGGAACGCGAGCGGCGCGAGCGGCGCGAGAGGGACGAGAGGGAGGCGAGGGAGGGCAAGGAGAGGGAGGAGAGGGAGGCCAGGGAGAGAGCGGCGCGCGACCAGGAGGCGCGGCTGGGCACGCACGTGGAGCAGCTGGGCTCGAGCGTGGACGAGCTGAGGGCGCGCCTGGAGGAGGTGGCGCTGCGGGTGCGCCAGGCGGCGGAGAACGCGAGCCGGGCGCTGCGCGACGTGGCGCTGAGCGGCGTGCGGCATGGCGAGGTGGTGCGCAACCTCACCTTGATCCCAGGTGCGCGAAGACGCACACGGGGTGGCGATCCCCCCCACCCCCCCACACCCAACCCCACTCCCCCCGCCACCCGTAGAGGCGGAGGTCTGGGATGGAGCAGAACATTGAACAGGAATGTTTAGGTCCGGCGAGAGGTTTCAGTTTTATTGCGAGATAGAGGCGGTAACGGCTGTTTTGTAGCTGAGCTCGAAACTCCTCCCTCTTCTTCTGCTCCAGCCCTTCGCAGTCGAGGATAATTGTCTCCCAGCAGAGTCTTATCTGTGTGGGTCCGGAGACGGGCCCGGCAGGGTGATGATGCGGGATCGACTCGCTCCGTAGCCGCAGCGCGGACGCCCGCGCGGTCCCCGAGTGGGACGCGTGGCCCCTGGGCCGTTGACTCAATGTTGTTGTTGTTGTTGTTGTCATCGTAGAGATTGACACGATCACAGTGGTGACAATGATAATAATAATTCCCGTGATCTTTTTTACGGAGGGAACCTTCACCGAGGCTCCTTTTCACGAGGATCCTGCACCGGTGAGGTTTGGCCAATTCCATTCATGAAGTGCAGGAGGAGGAAGCTGGAGTGTCTGGAGAAAATACACGTGCGTAGGTCGCTTGGATCAAGTACGAACGTACTTGTTGGAATGGGAGTCAAACAGGGGGAAACAGAGCCGTGCCCAGAGTACGGTAAGCCGGGGCGATGGCCCCGGGCCCCGCGCTTTTGGGGGGGGGGGCGCACTTAAACGTCACGGTGCCAATGTCATTCTTCCGGTTTAGTTTGAAGGCGTCGGTTGTGATTTGCCCCGGGCCCTGGGGAGACATATCCGCTTCGGCCCAAGTTATTGCAGCAATGTGAGAATATACATTGTCCTGACAAATGTAAACAAAAGCACGGTGGTATAAATTGACAGAATATTAACGAATCACATGACTAATCCTTGACCATCATCAACCCTTCACAGGACCACCAGGGATGCCCGGACCGCGTGGTCAGATGGGGTTCCCTGGGGTCGTGGGACCAGCTGGACCCAAGGGGGACATTGGGGAGCGTGGCGCGGCCGGATCCCCCGGTCCACAGGGGGTCAGAGGTCTCCCGGGCCCAAGGGGGGCCACGGGAATACGGGGCCAGATGGGCCGGGAGGGCAAGCAGGGGTCCGTGGGGGTCCCAGGTAAACCCGGGCCGCCAGGCCCTCCGGGGAAACCCGGCGAGCAGGGGCCAGTGGGGCCAATGTGGCCCCTCGGCCTCCCCGATTCACAGGGGTCACAACAGGGGTCACCGCTGGTGCCGATGGGGCCAGGGATGATGGAGAATCCCCTTCTGCAGAACATGAGTGCAAGCCTGGCACCAGGTGAGGTGTTGCCCTGTGGCGTGGTGGGTGCATTGCTTCGTTTCTTTCAAAACAGTGTGGGGTTTGGTTCTATTCGGTAAAGTCACGTAGGTAAAAAATAAAACAAAAATCACGACGTTTCGGCCACAACACAAGCGGCCTTCATCAGGTGAAGGGACCAGCCTGTCTCAAAGACTGCGCTGGAGTGAAACAGAGCCAAGCTCAGACTGCGACCTTTAAGCTGTGTGAGAGGGATTAAGGTACCTCGACAAAGGAATTAGCATAAAAAATTAGCATTTGATTGGCGGACTTAGCATGATGAAAGGTGTAGCATGCGGCAGTGCTTTAAGAAGGTGCACTGCCGCGTGCTACACCTTTCATCATGCTAAGTCCGCCAATCAAATGCTAATTTTTTTATGCTAATTCCTTTGTCGAGGCACCTTAATCCCTCTCACACAGCTTAAAGGTCGCAGTCTGAGCTTGGCTCTGTTTCACTCCAGCGCAGTCTTCGAGACAGGCTGGTCCCTTCACCTGATGAAGGCCGCTTGTGTTGTGGCCGAAACGTCGTGATTTTTGTTGTTTTATTTTTTACCTACGTGACTTTACCAAATAGAACCAAAGAGTATGGATCCTTGCAGTCACGAAAGCTTCAAATCTAGAAGTGTGGGGTTTGCTGGTAGACTGGGGGTATGTGGCACGGTTTTTTTTGTCGTCGTCGTGGTCATTGTTGCAAATAATGGAACTGGGAAGCAGCAACAGTAAGCGGGCAGTCAAATTCCCACTTTAAGGATGGTGTCTGTGTCCACTTTGTGCCGCATATGGGTCCCCTAAGCTTTTAACAACAACAACAAAAACCACTGTGCTCTGAGATGTTTGTTAAGTTATGTTGTTGTTGTTGTGGCTGCCATCGCCACAGCGAGAGGGATACTGGACGTAGTGTGCCGGATGTGGAAAATATTTTCCATGCAGGTCGCTGGTCGACTGGCGTAGACGGCACGTGACATAACTGTCAGCAACAACAAGAAAAACGCAACGCAGCGAAGTTTTTCCCCGGCTCAGGTGGAGCCAACAAACAAGTGGATATTATGTGGCGTGAGTTCTTGGGCTATACCAGGGCGTCGGAGTCGCATGCAGCTCTTTAGCTTCACCCCATAGCTGTCAACCCATACGGTTTTACCCCGTATTCTTGTACAGGCAAACTAAGTTTTCAGGTCCATACGGCGTACAGCCGTTTCAATGCGGGCAACATTTTTTTTGGTGAGTGTACTAGTGGTGTTTGTCTATATGTTTGTGTTTCTCCCTTGTGATGGGACTTTGTAGGATGAACGTTGAGATGTATAAGGGCACGGGGTGATCAATAAGGTCTGAATTGGTCTGTAATAAGTTAGGGCACTCATAAAGGATTACAGGTATGAGTACACACAAAACAACTATTAGGTAGTTTAAAAAAATAGATATGTATGTGTCTATTTTGTTTGTGTTTCTCCCATGTGTTGGGACTTTGTAGGATGAACGTTGAGATGTATAAGGGCATGGGTGACCAATAAGGTCTGAATTGGTGTGTAATAAGTAAGGCATTGATCATGGGGTTGACAGGTTTAGCTTCACCCTTGTGGCTCTTTGACTGCACCTATTGGAGGGCAGCCGTTAAAAAAAATCTTAAACGTCATTTGACATAAAGATAATGTCGTAAATACGTCAGGCAATGGGTCTTGGTGACAACCGAATGTACAACAGTCAAAACTGTTTTGTTAAAGAATACCTAAGGGGGAAATAAACTATATAGAAGCAATCTTGATTTGAATCTTGATTTGAAGCTTTCGTGACTGCAGGAATCCATACTCTTTGGTTCTTTCGGTAAAGTCACGTAGGTATAAATAAATATATAGAAGCACAGGTATTCCACCACCTATGTTGTTTATTTGAGTCAGAATGTGTTTGTCATCTGCTGCTGCTGCTGTGTCTGTACAAGTCGCTCTCTCCGCGTGTGATGCGGCTCTCGGAATATTTTGGTCAAAGACAGAAAAAAACAGAAGTAAAAAAAACTTGCCTCTTCTTTTTTTGAAAGTTTGCCGACCTCCCCCCACCCTGGGCTAGCGCATGGATGTTGCTTAGGTGTAGAGCTGGGATATATCCCAACATAAATGTGTAAGCACCCTTGGCAAAATAGCACAAGATAGCCAGAGCTGTGACGTCCATGGACAGGGGGGTGGGAACATGTCAGAGGGAGGTGTTGCCGAGACTGCGAGCGCCACGTGGCAATAAAGAGAGCCCTTCCCCGTATCTTTGAGCCTCTGTGTTCCTTCTTACAGAAGCAAACCGATTAATCTAGCGATTATTCAGAAAATATGAAAATACTTAAATAGTCGGGGGGGCGGGGGGGGAGTCTCACGTCAACTCCCGCACATGTGCAGCTGGACGGGAGGTGATGGGTGGGGTTTGGTGACGTCATCTACATTTTCAGGCAGGATTGGTAATTGATCTTATATTGTATCTAGATTTATATAGCGACTTATTGCAGGGCTTTTTACAAACAATTATAGAATTGTACATGAGATGACAGTGATTGAGATAAAGAGCGGGGTTATGATTCATAGTGGTGGTGTTGTTGTTGTGGTGACAGGAGAACGGGCGGGAGTGGTTCAGGAAGGGTTGGGTAGAGTTAGCGATCGGGGTGGTGATTGGAGTAGGGGTGGTGATAGGGTTAGGGGTTCAGGTAGTGGTAGTGATAGGGGTAGTGGTAGTGATAGGGGTTGGTGTAGTGGTAGTGATAGTGATAGCGGTAGTGGTAGTAATAGGAGTTGGGGTAGTGATAGGGGTTGGGGTAGTGGTAGTGATAGGGGTTGTGGTCGAGGTTGGGGTAGTGGTAGTGATAGGGGTAGTGGTAGTGATAGGGGTTGCAGTAGTGGTAGTGATAGGGGTAGTGGTAGTGATAGGGGTCGTGATAGGGGTTGGGGTAGTGGTAGTGATAGGGGTCGTGGTAGGGGTTGAGGTAGTGGTCGTGATAGGGGTTGGGGTAGTGGTAGTGATAGGGGTTGGGGTAGTGGTAGTGATAGGCGTTGGGGTAGTAGTAGTGATAGGGGTTGGGGTAGTGGTAGTGATAGGGGTTGGGGTAGTGGTAATGATAGGGGTCGTGGTAGGGGTTGAGGTAGTGCTAGTGATAAACCAGCAAATCTTCCAGAAAAAAAAAAACCGTATTACAACGCTGTGTGCAAAAATCCCAGTGTGATGTAAGTCAAACAATAACAACCATAAGACAATTTAGATTAAAGTTATCAGACCAACTCCGCACTTCCGCAAGAAACATGGCTTAACCAAATGTTTTCTAAATCACCAAAATAAAGCTATAAAAACAATGTAACAACAGTAATCATAGGAACTGTGATTCAAATTTAACAATAAACGATATACATAACATGTACGACCAAACTTGCAGCCATAGCTGGCAGCACGACACTTCCAGTGTATGATGTGTGAGTGAGTCAGTGGTAGTGTGAGTGCGTGTATGATGTGTGAGTCAGCGTGTGGTGAGTGAGTCAGTGTATGATGTGTGAGTGAGTCAATGGTTGTGTGAGTTAGTGTATGATGTGTGAGTGAGTCAATGGTAGTGTGAGTGAGTGTATGATGTGTGAGTGAGTCAGTGGTAGTGTGAGTCAGTGTATGATGTGTGAGTGAGTCAGTGGTAGTGTGAGTCAGTGTATGATGTGTGAGTCAGCGTGTGATGAGTGAGTCAGTGTATGATGTGTGAGTCAGTGTATGTGTGAGTCAGTGTATGATGTGTGAGTGAGTCAGTGTATGTGTGAGTCAGTGTATGATGTGTGAGTGAGTGTATGATGTGTGAGTGAGTCAGTGTATGATGTGTGAGTGAGTCAGTGTATGTGTGAGTCAGTGTATGATGTGTGAGTGAGTGTATGATGTGTGAGTGAGTCAGTGTATGATGTGTGAGTGAGTCAGTGTATGATGAGTGTGGTTGCCGTGGCTTGGTCCCAGGACTCAGCTGCCCTGACCACTGGAAAATCTTCGGGGGTCACTGCTACCTGCTAACTTTGAGGAGGAAATCGTGGGACGATGCAAATTCCAACTGCCGGGAGCTCGGAGGATACCTGGCCATCGTCACATCAATTGAGGAGAAGGTTATTAAACTCCATCATCACCATCATAATCTCCTTCAGCCACGATCAATTCATTGATGGATCAAGGCCTCATCACTCCATCACCATCGCATATGTATAAATAAGTGTGTTTATGGTCCTGTGGTGTCACAATCCGTCCCACTCCTGCACGTGAACTGATTTCATCGCTCCGTGGTGGTCATCCTCTTTGAGTGCTGTCATTGTCAGCAGTCGTGTCCAGCGGCCATACTTCTTCTAGCAATCATCATCCATTCTATTAATCATTCCTTCTAGCAATCATCATTATTTTTAGCAATCATCATCCCTTCAAGCAATCATCCCTTCTAGAAATCATCCCTTCTAGCAATCATCACCCATTCTAGCAATCATTCCTTCTAGCAATCATCATTACTTTTAGCAATCATCCCTTCTAGCAATCATCATCCCTTCTAGCAATCAACCCTTCTAGCAATCATCATCCATTCTAGCAATTATCCCTTCTAGCAATCATCATTACTTTTAGCAATCATCATCCCTTCTGGCAATCATCCCTTCTAGAAATCATCCCTTCTAGCAATCATCACCCATTCTAGCAATCATTCCTTCTAGCAATCATCATTACTTTTAGCAATCATCCCTTGTAGCAATCATCATCCATTCTAGCAATCATTCCTTCTAGCAATCATCATTACTTTTACCAATCATCATCATCATCCCTTCTAGCAATCATCCCTTCTAGAAATGATCCCTTCTAGCAATCATCACCCATTCTAGCAATCATCATTACTTTTAGCAATCATCCCTTCTAGCAATCATCATTACTTTTAGCAATCATCATCCCTTCTAGCAATCATCCCTTCTAGAAATGATCCCTTCTAGCAATCATCACCCATTCTAGCAATCATTCCTTCTAGCAATCATCATTACTTTGATCAATCATCCCTTCTAGCAATCATCATTACTTTTAGCAATCATCATCCCTTCTAGCAATCAACCCTTCCAGCAATCATCATCCATTCTAGCAATCATTCCTTTTAGCAATCATAATTACTTTTAGCAATCACCATCCCTTCTAGCAATCAACTCTTCTAGCAATCATCATCCATTCTAGCAATCATTCCTTCTAGCAATCATCATTACTTTTAGCAATCATCCCTTCTAGCAATCAACCCTTCTGGCAATCATCTTCCATTCTAGCAATCATTCCTTCTAGCAATCATTCCTTCCAGCAATCATTCCTACTAGCATTCATCATTACTTTTAGCAATCATTATCCCTTCTAGCAATCATCCATTCTAGCAATCATTCCTTCTAGCAATCATCATTACTTTTAGCAATCATTATCCCTTCTAGCAATCATCCATTCTAGCAATCATTCCTACTAGCAATCATCATTACTTTTAGCAATCATCATCCCTTCTAGTAATCAACCCTTCTAGCAATCATCCCATATAGCAATCATCCCTTCTAGAAATCATCATTACTTTTAGCAATCATCATCCCTTCTAGCAATCAACCCTTCTAGCAATCATCCCGTATAGCAATCATCCCTTCTAGAAATCATTATCCCTTCGAGCAATCATCCCTTCTAGAAATAATCATCCCTTCCAGCAATCATCATCCCTATTCTTTGGGTCTTTCGGTAAAGTCACGTAGATAGGTTAAAAATGAATGAAATAAACAAAAAGCACACCGTTTCGATTGCAACACAAGCGATTGTCTTTTTTTTCTACCTGAAGACGATCGCTTGTGTTGCGATCAAACGTCGTGGTTTTTTGTTTATTTTTGATTAATTTGGAACCCATCTACATGACTTTACCGAAATACCCCAAAAATATGAATTCCAGCAGTCACCAAAGCTTTAAGTCAAGATTTAATCATTCTCCCTTCTAGCAATCATCCCGGCCAGTAATCATTCCGTCTAGCAATAATCTCTTCGAGAAATCATCATCCCTTCTAGCAATCATTCCGTCTAGCAATCATCCCTTCTGGAAATCATTCATCCCTTCTAGCAGGAGCGGAGCCACAGGGGGGGCTGGGGGGGGCTCAGCCACAGGGGGGGCTGGAGGGGGCTCAGCCCCCCTGAAATTTTTAGAAAGTCAGTAATCGGGACAACCGGATATCCGGCTGCTGCAAAATGCTGGCTGCCACCGTGTGCTGCCCTGCAGGCTGCTTGAGCGGCAGCCTTTCGAACTTATCGAACTTATTAGCCACATCAGCGGCTCCGACCTATTAATAAACTCCGCGTTCAAATCCAATAAAATTTGTTTTATACATTTGTGGCGCCCATTGGAAAACATACACTGGATATCTCAGAATATTTAAGTGAGCCCCCCCAAAGTCAAAATCTTGGCTCTGCCTTCTAGCAATCATCCCTTTTAGCAATCATCCCTTCTAGCAATCATCCCTTCTAGCAATCATCCCATCTAGCAATCATCCCTTCTAGCAATCATCCCTTCTAGCAATCATCCCGTCGAGAAATTATCATCCATTCCAGCAATCATCATTCGTTCTAGCAGTCATTCGTTCTAGCAATCATCCCTTCTAGCAATCATCCCGTCTAGCAATCATCCCGTCTAACAATCATCCCTTCTAGCAATCATCCCGTCTAGCAATCGTCCCTTCCAACAGTCACCCTTTCTTAAAATCATTTCTTCTCCCAGCTATCCTTTCTAGCAATCATGCTTTTTGGCAATCGGCATTACTGCTTAGAAATTATTATAACCTGAATGTGCCTGATTTTATTCGATCCTCCAGCTGTCCTGTGTGTGTGTGTCTTTGATGTCCTGTGTGTCATTCTATGATGTTCATGTGTGTGTATCTCTCTCTCTGTGATGTTCATGTGTGTTTCATTCTCTCTCTGTGATGTCCGTGTCTCTCTCTCTCTCTGTGTGATGCCTATGTGTGTATATATCTCTCTATAATGATTATATGTGTGTCTGTGTCACTCTCTGTGATGTGTGTGTGTCTCTCTCTCTGTAATGTCCATGTGTGTGTGTCACTCTGTGATGTCCATGTGTGTGTCACTCTCTCTGATGTCCATATCTGTATGTCTCTCTCTCTCCCTCTGATATTCATGTGTGTGCGTATGTCTCTCTCTCTCTCTGATGACCATGTGTGTGTGTGTGTCACTCTCTCTGATGCCCATATCTGTATGTCTCTCTCTCTCTCCATCTGATATTCATGTGTGTGCGTATGTCTCTCTTTCTCTGATGACCATGTGTGTGTGTGTGTTACTCTATCTGATGTCCATGTCTGTATGTCTCTCTCTCTGATATTCATGTCTGTATGTGTGTTACTCTCTCTGATGTCCATGTCTGTATGTGTGTGTCTCTCTCTGATGTCCATGTCTGTGTGTGTGTCTCTCTCTCCCTCTGATATCCATGTGTGTGTGTGTGTCTCCTCCATGCAGGACTGGCTAGTGTTTGTGGGGAAACGCCGATCATATTACCTGGGCCTGCACGACTCGGTGGTGGAGGGGCGCTGGGAATGGGTGGACGGATCTCCCGTGTCCGAGCCCACGTACGGGAAACGCAATTCATTTGCAGTGCAGCGTTAATGCAATTCAGTGAAACGTGACACAGCGCACCGCAAAGCAACGCAGCCCCAGTGCAATAAACCACCGCGACCCAATGGAGCGTAGCCCAAATGCAATGCGGCGTAATTCAACACAACGCAATGCAGCGCAATGCACTGCAGTGCGGCCCATTGAAATGCAACGCGGTGCAACCCAATGCGATGGTGGTGCAACTCGATAGAAGTCAACGCAATGCGACGCGATGCAATGCACTGCCGCGTATTCCGATGCTGCAATTCTACTGAAAACAGGACAACACGATGCAATATTACCATGCAAACATTAACAACCCAATGCAGTACTTTGCAACCAAATGTAGCGCAGCCGAATGCAATGCAACATACTGCTACGTAACATGATGCAATGATGAGAGTGATGTTGATGCTTATAGTAATAACACCGTTGCTGCCAGGGATTTCATTTCTCACTGAATATTGTTGTTGTTTGTCCTGGGCCGCTGCTAGACTAGAGCAGGTGGCATGTGACTAGTCGCCACATCCACAGAGAGAGGTGTACTGGATGTGGTATGCTGGGGGTGGATATATTTTTTTCCGGGTCGTTGACCCAGACAGAACGCGGATTTAAATGAATCGCCTGGCTGCCCGCGATAATGATTCTTACGTGAGCTGGTAAGGCCGTTGAGCTGTTTTCCAAGGATGACTGACCACCTTCCAACCAGCGATGTTCTCTCTCGACCCGACACGACCCCACATCCCTCCACCCCATCCATCCCAAATCCCCGTGCGGTGAAGGTTCTGGATCAAGGGGCAGCCGGACAACTGGGCGCACACGCTGGAGGGGCGCGAGGACTGCGGGGGGATGAAATACGACGGTGGCTGGAATGATTACAGCTGCAGCGAGACGCTCGGCTACGTGTGCGAGCGGGAGCCCCAGAGCCTGGGCCCAACTCGTTCCCCGTGAACCTCCAACCCTGACCGTCGCCTCGGCACCGGCAACGTCTTTACCTCACCCCCCCCCCCCCCTTACGTGACCATGTTTCCCGTCACGGTGTGACGTCGACGCGCCGCGGTGTGACGTCCACGCTCTGCGGTGTGACGTCCACGCTCTGCGGTGTGGCGTCCACGCTCAGCAGTTTGACGTCAACGTTCTGCGGTGTCACACAGACACTCTGCGGTGTGACGCCGACGCCCTGCGTTGTGACGTCCACGCTCTGCGGTGTGACGCCGACGCTCTGCGGTGTGACGTCCACGCTCTGCGGTGTGACGTTCACCCTCTGTGGTGTGACGCTGACGATCTGCGATGTGACGCTGACGATCTGCGTTGTGACGTCCACGCTCTGCGGTGTGACGCCGACGATCTGCGATGTGACGCTGATGCTCTGCGTTGTGACGTCCACGCTCTGCGGTGTGACGCCGACACCCTGCGGTGTGACGCCGACGCTCTGCGTTGTGACGTCCACGCTCTGTGGTGTGACGCCGAAGCTCTGCGGTGTGACGTCCACGCTCTGCGGTGTGACGTTCACGCTCTGCGGTGTGACGCTGACGATCTGCGATGTGACGCTGACGATCTGCGTTGTGACATCCACGCTCTGCGGTGTGACGCCGACGATCTGCGATGTGACGCTGATGCTCTGCGGTGTGACGCTGACGATCTGCGATGTGACGCTGAAGCACTCCTGGAAGCTGACCTCTCCACGCCCCCACTCCAATGCCTGTGCTGTCATCTTCCAACGCAGCAGCGTAGCTATCGAGATTTCAGGCAGTGCGACTGCACCGGAGCCCACGGTGCCAGGCAGGGCAAGGCGCCGGGTTACAAGGGGGAGAGAAACCAAGACAGGGGTCTCCATTTCATGTCCTGAGCGAGGGCACCATGCCAACAGCATCACGCAACTGTCTCAACGATGCTATCTCTACATGACTTATTTAGCCCGACAACTCAATCACCACAATGCTCCATTACCACCATCATGCCATCACCATATCTCCAAATCACCTGATCTCCTGGTGACCTTCCCGATGCCTCTCTTATATCATAGTGAACCCCATGGCCTCCAAACGTCCAAACGTGCACACACACGTCAACTTATCCTCACGCTGTGGGACGCAGCATTCAAGGGCCTGTAGTGTGAACGTGTTGTTATTTTTATTCGTTTACACGATCTCGTAAGTGTCTTCGATCTAAAGTTTATTGAGATGATCATTTGTTTCAATGTAGCCACCGCTACGAATAAAAACGTGTGCAGCGATACTGATTTGTTTACGCACACGGGCCTAATCATTAAAATCGTAGCTTTAGGAGTGACGCCTTGTGTGATGAGACGTGAAGACCATCAGCATCTGATCGGCGGAGATCTCCTAGTGTCCTCCGTGCCGAGGAGATTTCAGATCGCAGTGCGTTCAAATGGTTAAATAAAGTGCATTGCATTTTATGACGTGTGAATGTGTTTGTGATCATCACGCACTCCGGAGTCTAGTGCTGCTACACGTATCTGCTTGCACAAGACACCTGAGGGACGTTTCCCTGTTGGCATGCAATGCAAGTTGCGTTTATATGGGGCCTGAATTTAAACCGCGTCACATGACGCTGTTTGAAATGGTGGGGACATGGGCACGGGGGGAAGGATGAAATGTTATTTTTTTTATACACAGAAAGAGGCAGTCACAGGCAGGTGATGGCAGATGAGACGCGAAAGGTCCTGAGTCTGGACTTGATCAAGGGCAGGGAGTCGACATCAGTGGTGGACTCAGCTAGTGTGGGGCCTGTAGCAGATGTTATTAAGGGGCCCCTAAATAAAAACATTTTTTAATCACAAATGTTTTACTTGCATAGTAAATTGTATTTTTTCATTTGCTATACAGCCAGGTAATAAACAAAAAATCGCTAACCTTGAACACCCAGTCGTTCATAAAAGTTAAAGGCAGTTTAGTACTATAGTAATAGAGCGAGTGCAGAATCACTGAACCGGAATTGATCGCTTGAAAGCGTTTAGCGCGGGGCCCTTGAAAGTGTGGGGCCCGTGGCAACATATGTAGTAGCTACTTTTTCTACTAAGGGTAATCCGGCACTGGTCGACAGCACGGATGGCTCAGGGAAGGGATTTCCAGACTGCAAGGGCAGCGGAAGTGATAAGGTCGACCGGGGAGCTTCAATAGAACGCCTTGGTGAAGTACAGGGTGCGTGGAGGAGAGTAGAGTGAGGAGATAAGTAGGAGAGTGTGTGGAGGGGCTTAGAGTGAGATGAGAGACAGTCAGGGGCGAGTGCACAGAGTATATTGAAGACAGCAGTTAGTGCGATCTAGAAATTGACTTTGGGAGCGAGTGGAAAGGTTAGGATCATTGGAGTTTTTGTGCGATGTGGTCTCGTTTAGAGGCCGCCCATAAATGACGTCACGCACCTGGGGGGGTCAGACATTTGTGACGATGTGTGACGAGGGGGGGGGTTGATAAATGTGACGTCACATCAAAATGCGCAACTTTCAAAAAATATAGAATTGTTATAACACTAATTGTTATAGCAACATTCCTACAACATCAGAGTGCAGCGCCACGTTAAATACGCACTACAATGACCATAGTTTAAAGCGATTTGAAGCATCTTTATTTTCAAAATGGAAATATGTTAAATATATTTTTTTTGGGGGGGGGGCAGAGCTTTGTGACGTCATAATTGAGGGGGGAGGGTCTGACTTTTTGTGACGCCGTGTGACGAGGGGGAGGGGGGGTCAAAAATCGTCCAAAATCCCGTGACGTCATTTATGGACGGCCCATAACGAGCGTGGGTGAGTCGTCTGCCGAGGAGGTTGTTGATCGTGGGGAGGCCGTGGAGGAGCGAGGTGCACGGGTCGAGGTGTGGTGAAGGCGGTGGGATGAGTGTCTCTGCCTCAGCTGGGGTGGTGTAGTGAGAAAACAACGGACGTGGGAGGTCATGCACAGATGGAGACATGAGGCTGTACCGTACAATAAATAAACTCGTTGAATCGTAATACAATCTTTGGTTCTTTCGGTAAAGTCACGTAGGTAGAAAAATTAAACGAAATAAAAATAAAATATATCGCGACGTTTCGATCGCAACACAAAGCGGTCGTCCTCGGGCGGGAAAACATAATCCAGGAGTGGAACCGCTGAACCAGCGAGAGAGCAGCTACAACAACACGAGATTATTTACGTGGCGATGAGCAAGCAAGTGGGGTCTGAGCTGGAAAGGAATTCCGTCCACGGACGCAAGCACGTCAGTTGTGTTAATGGGGGGTATTAGGGAGAGAGAGATTTGCATGAATGAGCTTCCATTGCCTGAGGATGACCGCTTGTGTTGCGATCGAAACGTCGTGATATAATATTTTTTTTTAATTTTGCTTTCTCTTTTCCCCCCTACGTGACTTTACCGAAAGAACCAAAGAGTATGGATTCCTGCAGTCGCGAAAGCTTCAAATCAAGATCGTGATATATTGTTGAGTCAGTCGCCGCGTGAGTAAGAAAAAGCAACGCGTGTCGTACACCCTCCGTCACCAGACACGGCCAAATCAGTGAAGTTTCCACGTGAAGAGACGTCCTAAAGTTATTATTACTCCGGTACAGCGGTGTGTTGGAGAGCAATTCGCTCACTTTTCACAAATTGGCATGTTTGTTGATAGTTTATTTTTCATTTGGCTGCGCCGGGTGGAGGAGGGTGTACGTCACATATTGGTAATTTACTCACGCGGCGATATGACCAACAATCAATTGGGAATCATATCTGGCGCGAGAGCCTACATGTGGAATTTAAACAAAGTGAAACTCACATTTAAGAGGCCTTATCTAACCGGAGAGAGCACAGCAAATTATCAGCTGGTTCAATACGTAAACTTCCGTCAGCTTGTTTGCAAAGACTAAATTGAACTTCCGTGAATTGTGCTAAAGAGGAAAGATTAACTGGCAAGAAGGGGTTTGTGTCACGTGCTGTTATGAAATGCAAGGGGTTTATGACCATTACCACCCCAACTCACCCTTATTGTGCTCGGCTCGTACAGGCATCTCGTGTTCACCTCTGTCCTGAAAAAGGACCATTGCCCGGAACATCGCCTATTAGCCGGGCGGTGATGGCAATGCTTGCCCGTAATCCAGCACCGTCGGAGGTGAGGGTTGGCGGCTCGCACAAATGTTGTTAGAACTCCCTTCTAGTGGGCACCGAGGAAGTTCCATAAACCCCGGCTCGCCAAACTTGATTTGAAGCTGTCGTGACTGCAGGAATTACTCTTTGGTTCTTTCGGTAAAGTCACGTAGAAAGAAAATAAATTAAATAATAGAGTACGACGTTTCGATTGCAACACAAGCAACCGTCATCAGGTAGAACTAAATTTGAGAGAGAGACAAAACACAGACACGGAGACACACAAGCAGAGAGAGAGAGAGACAACACAGACACACACAGAGAGAGAAAGACACACAACATAGACACACGGCTCGCCATCCAAGATGTGGACACTCCACTTGTGTCGTCTGTATGGAATAGAGCTGGGGTTGGCAAGCTGCGGCATGCGGCTCATCATGGAATTCATAATAAACCTTTTCAACACACCGGTGGGTTAAATTAGTGAACTATTTGTCTTTTGTCAACGTGACACTTTTTTGCTGATTGGCCGTGTCGGGTGGTGGAGGGTTACGACACATTTATAAATAACGCGATCTAACTCAAAAACGTTTATTATGAATAATATTGGTCGCGAAAGCCTACGTGTTAAACTCATCAATTATATCGTGATCCCCCACAGCGTTGTAACAGTGATCAGCGCTGTGGGGGATCACGATATAATTTTCTCCGATACCAAGGTTCTTTGCAAACCCACGGGCTTTTATCAGAGATTTGTTCATGAAGCAATTCAGATCTACAAACACAGACACAATTTCAACCGAGAAGATGGTTTCAAATTAAGCAACCATTGGAAAGATGTTCTAAATCGAACTAAACATTAAACTAATTTCAATGGTACAGTATATTTTTTTCAAGTAGTGGTACCCCAAACTTTCGCAGCTCTTATAAATTCCCTTTTCATACCATCAATAGATAAACTCCCCCTCCCCCCCTCCCGCCCCCCCGCGCCAAACGGCAAGTCCACCGGCACGTACACCACCTCTTTCCTAAAATCGGCCAATCAAATGCTAATTTTTATGCTAATTTCTTTGTCAGAACACCTTGTTTGCTCGCACACAGTTTAAAGGTCCGCTGTCTGAGCGTGGTTGTGTTTCGCTAAATTCTCCTGTTTGATTAGTACTAGGTGCCTCGGTGAATGTATATGCTCTGACTTTAACATAGCTATTTCTGTGACCAGTTACAAGCTAATCACTCAGCTATTTCAATGCTAAATTCTATGCTAATTCATATGTCAAGGGGTACCTCTGCGGATGTGTATACTTTAAATTAGCTATTTCAATGAGCCATTTCAATGCTAAATTATATGCTAATTCCTTTGTCAAGGCGCTTTGTTTTCTTCTCACACAGCTTAAAGGTCGTGATCTAAGCGTGGCTTCTCTCACTCCAGCGCTGTCCTCCAGACAGTCTCGTCCCTTCACTTGATGAAGGCCGCTTGTGTTGTGGCCGAAACGTCGTGATTTTTTGTTATTTTATTTTCACCTACGTGACTTTACCCAATAGAACCAAAGAGTATTGAGGGTTTATTTTTTTCTGTTTTGTTTGACCGAATTTCAAACGTATGTCACTTCTTGTTAGTTCGCTTGCCGAACCCCGGGCTAGAGTGTTTCCCCCATGCACTCGTGGGTATTCTCCAGCTGCTTTCCCACCACATGTAAACACCCGTTAGTTTTGATTTAAAGCTTCGTGACTGCAGTGATTCATATTCTTGGTTCTTCCGGTAAGGTCACGTTGAAGGGAAACAATAAAATAATAAAATATATAAAACAATAAAATTCTCACGACGTTTCGACTGCAACACAAGCAGTCATCATCAGGTGTGAAAACCAACGGCAAGAACATTTGAAAGAAGTAGCGGTTCGCATCTATTTATTTATTTATTTTAAAACGTTAGCGCCACGAAGAGCGATTTGACAGTTTGTTTAGATGGACGAGTCCATCTATGTTCGGAAAAGAGGAGGGGGGAGACGAAAAATTAATGTATGCTGTCTGAAAGCCACCGTAAGCGTGAACAATCAATTAAGACCCGAAATGGTTTATCAAATCTTTCCAACGATTGCTAAGCCAGAATCCATCTTCTCGGTTGAAATAGGCTCTGTGTTTGTATATGTGGATAGCCTCATGAACGAATCGCTCATGGTTAGTTTGTCAAATAACGTCCTAATATATAGAGAACCGCAGACCTTGGGCACTTGCTGGCACGGACTCACGGCGTGGCTGCTGCCCTCTTTACCCTCGTCTGTGGTTCTTCCTCCTGCCGCCTCTGAGTGGTCCTCTCTTTACGAGAGCGAGGAGCGAATGCCG